TCTTCTTCTTCTTCTTCTTCTTCTTCTTCTTCTTCTTCTTCTTCTTCACTTTCCCAATAGGGGAAGCCAGGAGTGCCTGGGACTAAGGGAGAGAAGGTAAGCTCCATGCCTGGCTGCCCTAGGTTGGGTTGAGTTGGGAACAGGTTCCACTCTGAGTAGTAAGGACACTCTGCCCAGGTGCTGGGCCTGCCTGAGCTGATCTCAGGTGACATTTATTTTATTACTGTGGAAGGTTTGTGATCAGATCAGGAGCCTGCCTGGAGGGTCAGCCAGATCCAGACCCTGCCTCAGGCATCTACATGGTCTGTGAGCATGGAGGGCCACTTAGTTTCTCTCTCAGCCCAAGTCTCATAACTGTCAGTGGGACACATATCGCCCCTGGCTGGCTTTGAGGACATAGTTTCGGCATCATAGGATGCCGGGACTCCTTTCCTGAATGAATGAGTCACTTGGACAGGCGGCCCCTGCAGTTGTCCTGTTGTCCATGTTGATGATGGGAAACACCTAAAACGGGTGTGACCGGAGGCTTTGTCTTTCCCGAGGTCTCAGCACCCCCTAACCTCTTGTGGTTCTTTTCTTCTGGTAGGGTGACCCCTGTGAAGTGTGCCCAACATTGCCTGAAGGGTTCCAGAATTTCGTGGGGCTCCCTGGAAAACCAGGGCCTAAAGGGGAACCAGGTGATCCTGCTCCAGTCAGGGTGAGTGCCCAAGTGGCCACTGAGGGACTGGGTGCTTCTCAGTACCACCGAGATTAGGCCGAGTATAGCCTAGATGGGATTTGAACCATAGAGCTTGGGTGGGCTAGAGTGTCATCCCAGGTTTCCATGGCAACCTCCCAGCACTTCCCCCAAGAGACTCTACAGTACTTTTTGGGCAAGATAGGGTGGAACCATCTCTTACTGTGAGTGAAGCTTGGCTGGGTTTGGGTTTTGGGTAGAGAAAATGAAAGAAAGTGGTGAGGGCAAGGGTTAAGGCTCTGGTACAGCCTCCTCACCTGATTCCTTCATATACCCTCTCTTTCAGGAGGGCCTAGGAACTGTTGGGCTGAAAGGTGATCGGGTATGTAAATTTTTTTTAATGTGGACATTTAGGCTAAGTTTATTTCCCTTAGTGTCCTATGGGTTGATGGGCATGGCCTCTGGGGTGCTGGCTTTGAATCCCTCTAGAATGGGGCAGTTTAAAGGACATGTCTATGGTGTGTCACACTGCTGTTCTTAAATACAGTTAGAGCATTTGGGCTGTCCCAATATACCCAGTCTTCTCCCGCAAACCTTTGTTGTTTTCTTGCAGGGAGATCCAGGCATCCAAGGAGTGAAAGGAGAGAAGGTGAGGGTCTCGTGCCCTGGTCCTTGCCTTCTGAACACCTGAGAGAATTTTGATTGTTCTCTTCCTTCCCTAGGGGGAACCCTGCTCATCCTGCAGTTCAGGTGTTGGGGCCCAGCATCTTGGGCCTTCCACAGCGGGCAGTGAAGATGTAGGCTCCCCTAGCCATGGCTTACCTGGTCTTCCGGTGAGTGACCTGCCCTTGGCATACTAGTGACTGTCCTGGCTCTTCAAGTCTCATGCTTTGGGCCAGGAACCAAGAGGTAGCCATGAAGCAGCCTACACTCTGGTTCTTTCCTCCGTCCCTATGCTAGGCTGAAACTTGTAAAGGAGTAACTGTCTAGCAATCCCTTGCTTGCTGGGTGGATACTGGGAGCTTGGAGGGGTGTCAGGCAAAGATGCCGTAACTCCATCTTGATGTTTTGTTTTATTTTGTTTTAAGGGCAAGTCTGGAATTCCGGGGCCAAGAGGCATGAAAGGAGAGAAGGTGAGGCCTGGTCTAGATATCAGGGGCAGAGGCAAGGGCAGGGGGAGACAGCCTCGGGAGGCTAGCGAGGCAAGGGTCAAACTGCAGCCTCACAGAGAACAGATCCATCAGGGTTTCCCTGAGAAGAGTCAAGGAATTTAGTTCCAAGAACCTCATGTTCTCCAAGAGAATTCCTTAGTGTTGTATTTTTAATTTAATGATAATCTAAAACGATTAAGCACATCCAAGACTACCTTAAAGCAAAATAATATTTAACTCTCCTTTTCTACTTATTACATGCCAGGCACAGTTCCAAGCCTTGTGCATGTTTTAATCTTGTTTCATTCTCCCAAGTTCTAATGGAGTACAGCTTTCTACTAGTCACATTTTCGAATGAGGAAAAGGAGACGTTAAAAAGGCCCAGGGAATCTCCCAATGCGCCGTGGGTGTTTGAGCCCGGGGACGTCTGGCTCCAGAGTGTATGCTCTCCACTGTTCGGCTGGTTGGCCGGATTTGGATGCCCATGCTCACATTTGTATTTATGACTGTGTGGGAGATAGATGACAGCATTGGATTTCTAACAGTGTTGCTCAAATGAGGGGCTCTGTGGATGTGAGAGCGCCCGAGTGGGAGACACACTGGGATGCGTGTTCAGACTCACATGGTATTTCTCAAATGGAGTTTTAGTATCCCTCCCAACTCCCGCCCTCCTTACATTAGTGTGTATGTGTTCATGCGTGTGCATGTGTATGTCTGTGTGCGAGCATGTGTGAGCACATGTATGAGTATGCATGTTACTGAGATTGAACCAGGATCTAGCACATGCTTTGCAAGCACTCTACACTGAGCTATATCCCCTGCTCCATAGAGACCTGAGGAACCTTTATTTTACCCTTTATTTTGAGACAGGGTCTCACCAGGCTGGCTTTGAACTCACAATGTACCTCAGACAGGACTTGACCTGTGATCTTCCTTCCTACCCTCCTCAAGGAGCTGGCTTAGAGGCCGGTGCCACCAAGTGTGACCAGCCTTTTCCATTGTAGCAAATAGCATAACCCAAATCCCCAAAGCTGCCGTCAACCTTCACTCCTCCTCTACCCACCCACGTCACTTCCCCCTTCATCCAGCCCAGACACAAGTCCCGATGGCTCTGCCCACCTCTCCCTCAGCTCCCCTTCTTCTCTCGATGTGTGCCACTGGGTCCCCATGGTCTCACTCCTGATGGAAGTGACCTTCCCTGGCCTGCATGTGTCCACTGCGGCCCTTCAACAGCCCGTTTATCACCGAGCAGTTAGTGTGCCTTTGTAGAAAGAACTCCAGCGACAGAGCTTCCTGCTTACATGCCTTCTGGGACTTGACTCTGTGCCACAGTCCTGCTGGCCCTCATTCTGAACATCCTCCTCCTGGATCCCCTTCCTTTCTGTACCTTCCTTTGCTTTAGTCATCAGAGTCCCCTTCTGTTCTGGAGTATATGGAGACTGTTCCCACCCACGGGCTTCACTCCCATAGAAACATAGAAGGCTCCCTCCCACCTCCATACAATGGCTGGCCTCCTTACCGTCTTTCTGATGACATTGGTCCTACTTCTGACCCCAGTGTCCACGAGGTCCCTTCTTGGTGTCCGTCATTATGTCATTACCTCGTTTCCTTCATCACACTCGTTACCACTTACCACGTTACTCTTTTAAAAGCTCCAGCCATAAAGGACTTGCCTTGAAAGTGTGAGGACCTGAATTTGAGTTCCCAACATCCACATAAAAGCCAAGAGCCACAGCACTGTGGGTGAGGAGACTCACGGAAGCCTGGAGCTCACTGACCAGTCAGCCAAGCTGAACTCATGCAGGGTCAGTGAGAGATCCAGTCTCAGAAAGAGTATGTGGAGAGGGGCTGGAGAGATGGCTCAACAGTCAAGAGCACTGGCTGCTCTTCCAGAGGACCCGGGTTCTAGGACCCAGGTTCTATTCCCAGCACCCACATGGCAGCCCACAACTGTCTGTAACTCCAGTTCCAGGAGAATCTGACACCCTGACACAGGCAAACACTAATGCACATAAAATAAAAATAAATAAATTAAAAAGTGGAGAATGATTGAAGAAGATGCCTGATGTCAACCTCTGGCCTCTACCCTTGTGTACACACTCACACACACACACACAACACACACTCACACACATACTCACACACACAACACACAACACACACACTCACACACATACTCACACACACCACACATACACACAACACACACACAACACACACACCACACACTCACATACTCACACACACCACACATACACACAACACACACACTCACACAACACACACACCACACACATAACACACACCACACACACTCACACACACCACACATACTCACACACACCACACACACTACACACACACACACACACACACACACACACACACACACACAGAGAACTGAGAATATACTTCAGAGAACTGAGAATATACTTCAGTTGGTAGAGCGCTTGCTTGGCATGCTCAAAGTCCTGAGCTTGATCCCCGCGCTGTATTAACTGGTCCAGGAGCTGCACACCCGAGGCAGGAGGATCAGAGGTTCAAGGTCATTCCTTACTACAAAGCACAGGGTTACTTTTCTATAAAAAATGCTCTTAAGTGTGCCAGGTCCAGAAGGCATTTTTGTTTGTGCTCAGGGCCAAAGGGCATTTGATGAGCAGCTCTTGGAGAAAAGTCTATGTGATCTCAGCCTGGCTAGTGTGAGGCTTGGCCTGGGCTTCTGGGATGGGAGCTGGTTGTAGAGCTGTAGCTTCAAGACTGTGGCTGGTCAGGGGCTCCCTGGGGAGTTGGGAGGAATCCTAGTCCCTGAGTCTTACTTTCCCTTGCCGGTGGACACCCCAAAGATCTGCTCACGTACCTGCCAGTCTGCCCTGTTTCCTCTTTAACTATGTGCTCTCTGCTTGCCCCTCAGGGTAGTTTCGGGGATGCAGGGCCGGCTGGAGATCCGGTAGGTATTCTTCAGGTGGCAGTGGCTTAGGGGAGTGCAAGGTGGGGGGAACTGCCCTCCACAGGGGAACTGAGAGGCTTGGTCTGTGTCTGCACAGGCTAGGCTGGTGCTGGGCATTGTCTTATGTGGCTTCTCATGCAGGGGCCACCAGGACCAGTGGGACCAGCTGGCATCAAAGGGGCAAAGGTCAGTCTGGGGCATCCCTTGCATGCTGCCAGGGCACACCTCTGAAGAAGCTGTCTCTGTTCTGGCCTGTTCTACTCCAAATCCTGGGCTCCCTGCAATCTGTGGGGGCATGGCCTTGTTTCCATCTTTGCTTCGTCCTATGCTCCCAGTCTCTCCTGAGATATCCCTCGAGGGACAGATGTGACACATTGTAGCTGGTTACATTCTGCAGCCCTGGATCCCAAGGTTGCAGGAACCCCTTAACCTAATATCCTTGCTCCGCAGGGAGAGCCGTGTGAGCCCTGTGCAGCCTTGTCCAAGCTACAAGATGGGGACACTCCTGTGGTTCATTTGCCCGGCCCAGCTGGAGAGAAGGGAGAGCCTGGGCCCCCCGGCTTCGGGCTGCCTGGGAAGCAGGTAAACTCTGGAGATGGTTGCGGGCAAGATGATGCAAGAAAGAGCAGTGGTCCCTGAAGTGTCTCTAGACCTCCTGGGCAGAAGGGCAATGTGGGATGAGAGCAAAACCTCTGTGTCTAGCGCAGCCTGCTTGCATCCTCCTGGGACATAGAATGGCCTCAGCAGAGCTGGGTTTGAAGCTGGCTCCGATTTTTTTTTTCTTTATAAAATCTTTGACTTGAGCAAGTTACTTTTGTTCTCTGTCCCTCTGGGTCCTGTCCTTAGAGGGGAAGCTCAGTCATGACTTGTGTGAAGCCCCGAGAGGTGCACAGGAGGCGCTGGAGCAGTGGCAGAGTGGCTGTGGTCTGGTAGCTGCTGCTCTGATTGTGACAACAAACACGGGCCCAGCCGAAGAGTAATCTCACAAGAACTCTATGGTGCAGAAGCCTGCCCTGTTTTTATCACCCTCATTTGACAGATGGGGAAACTGAGGCTAGATAAGGGGATAGGTGAGGTAACCTGCCTCGGTCATTCAGGCAGGAGTATCTCCAGCGCTAGGCAGGTTCCCTAGCATTGTGTCTCTCAGTCGACCACATCCCCTGGGTCTCCCACAGTGCTGGGTACCCAGGGGTGTTCATTTTGAGGTGCCATTTTCTCCTCAGGGTAAAGCAGGAGAGCGTGGACTCAAGGGGCAAAAGGTAAGAGAATGTAAATGGCATAGAGGTGAGTGGGTACCCCCCCCCCCCGTCACCATACAGGCCTCTCTGCCCCCCTCCTCTCCCCCTCCCCCTCCCTCCTCTCCCTCTCCCCCTCCCCCTCCCTCTTCCTCCTCTCCCTCTCCCCCTTTCCCTCCCCTCCCTCTTCCTCCTCTCCCTCTCCCCTTCCCCCTCCCTCCTCTCCCTCCTCTCCCTCTCCCCCTCCCTCTTCCTCCTCTCCCTCTCCCCCTTCCCCTCCCCTCCCTCTTCCTCCTCTC